TTTCTGCTGCTTCTCACTTTGACTTTGAAACTAACATTGTTACGGAAGATTTATTATAGTGCTATATGAACACCCAAAGCTAATTTGGCACTAGCTGAACACGTCCAGCAATTACTCCATACCATGGAAATGATTTTGTGATACCCATTTTGAGTCTTTGACTGTGCTCTTGTGGAAACTCTGTTGTCGTGTTGAGGTCAGTGCCATAGTCCGTGATAGATACTCTGTTGGCCGAAGAACTGGGCATTTGTTCTTCGAAGGGCTGCTTTTAGAATATAGGGAATATGAGGAAGGTTGGGGGGGATAGGAATAATATTAATCCCCTAATATGAACTATGAAGGGTCCCCAAAGAAATATAAGAGGTGATGGCAATCACTTTACAAGCCTTACTATTCTGCCACACAACAATGGGCAAGACATTGGTATATTGTTCTGAACACAATTGCCAACATTTTCTTTGGAAGATAAAGATGTTATTTAAATATAGGTCATAGCTGGATACATCTAATTTTCAGGCAGCTGTGGCTTTTCCTCATTACTCCAAGTCTCCAATGCTTATTTCTCCTCCCGAATAGCAGGGTCTAAGAGATGAAGGTGCACATTCTCTCGTGAATCAATGTCGCTCTCGCAAGTCCACGTGGCACTTGCACATTAGTACGCTATGTCGGTTGTTGACTTGTTGGTGTACCTCCTCTTATTATTCTAGGTCTCGCCCATCTGCCTTCCAGGTGCTGGTTCAGTCCTGCTTAGGCTTGGACTCGGTTCGGGGCCTTCGGGCCACCCTACCCGGGAACCGGCCTGCCCGCTACTTTGCGGGCCTGGCCTGGTGCTTCGGGCCCGAAACCGGTTTTTGACCCGGAACCTAGGGAGTAGCGGGGGCGGGCTCGGGCTGTACAAATGACGACCCGGCCCGACCGGGATTGGTTCGGGCCAAAATGTTTTTTTTTTGGGTTTTTCAGATTTTTTTTTGTTTCCCCCGGGTTGGGCTGGGTGTTTTAGGGGTAGTTAGGAAAGCAAAAAAAAATTATAAACCGGCCCGAGGCCTTCCCCCCAACCTCAAAAGCCCGACCGGGCCTAGGCCCGGACCGAGTCCATGCCTAGTCTTGCTATGAGCTCTGTTAGTTTATTCGCGTATAATTCGCGTATAATACACTCAAACGTATAATTCGCGTATAATACTCCCGTTTATGAATTTTTCAAAAAATTCGGAAAAATTCGCGTACTTTAAGAATAAAATGTATAATACACGTATAGTACGTATTGATACGTATTTTATTCCCGTATAATACTCTTGTTTATGAATTCTTCAGAAAATTCTGGAAACCTCACGTATTTTAAGCATAAAATGTATAATACACGTACTGTATGTATTGATACATATTTTATTCAAAAACACGCACCATTAAACGGAAGCCTAATGTAGTGATACAACTGAAACGAAATGTTTAGCTGCTCAATATTATTTATATTGCTTAAAAAAATTATGCCTTATATGTTCGTTAATTGTTTCATAGTCATTACATTTAATAAATTAGCTTCTTAAATTCGTAATCCTTTTCAATACTACTAGTGTTCTCCACACATACCAAGACTCCAAAGAGATCGTAAAATGTTGTGGCGGCTCACGAAACTCACGGTCATAGTAATATCAATTATTCTCTAATAATATCTCTCTACTTCTACTCAAATAGGCAATGCCATTTTTATTACTTATTGTACTTATGTGTTCAAATCCGTATATATGAAAAAATTATTCCGTACATTTTAAATTGTTGAAGAATGTGGTTCAAATGTTAAATAACTTTTTATTTCTATCATTAAATTAGTATATAAGACACATATTATATGCCGTATTTTTAAATTGTGAAACGTTTAAAACGCGTCCGTATCTTTATATATTTCACGAACATATGAAACATATATTAAGCCGTATTTTATATAATTGTGTCGTATTATACACGAATGTACGTATTATTGTATTATTCACGAATAGTATATTACTAACAAAGGCTATGAGTAGTGGTACTATAGAATCCAGATCTGAAACCGTACCAGGTGACCAAACATATGCTATTCCCTTAACAATAGTTCACTTAACTTACATGGACTGAATGCTTGATGTTAGAAACTGTGCAAAGTGTAGTTCGTATTGAAAAATAAAAGTTGCTAGAGAAAAACATAATTCACCATCATTCTAATATACTTCGTAGTTCGTATGTGTCAAATTTTAACGACAGCATCACTCAACATCGTTCAAGTAACAAACATATAAATTGGAAAATGTTTAAACAAAGCCTATAGTTTTTCAGCATCTAGATTGAAATATTGCGGTTGATATTGTGAATTAGAAGTGAAATGAGAAAGAAATGACGTTAGTCAATTTTTATGTGTCTACCTATGGGTGATGTGTGTGCAATGGCAGAGTTCAGCTTGTTTGGAAGTGTTCATGCGAAAACCAAAATATTTAGATTAGAACTCCGGAAATACATGTATAGAATTGATGTGATAATTTAAGGGAAATTGCTCTCAATTGAAATAAAAACGTTTGTGAATTTCAAAATAAGATTCTCACATTTTTATTCTCTAAATGAGTAATTTAGAGTCGTATTTTGTCATTTTCAGACTTTAAACATACCAGTAATCTTTAAGCTTGACAATAATTATTTATACTATCGTATTTAAGAGCTAAAAACACGACAGTTCTAGTTTGGAACTACGAAATATTTGTACTCCTATTTCGGGAATTCCCCAACAATAATACTTCTTGATTTTAACTTCATTACCAGTAATTTCATTGTGGTAAAGATGTATATCTAGAATTATTTCATCAAATAATGTTATTTTTTTATAATTTTAATTGAAGAATAACCTCAAACACCGAAGATTTAGGTGCCAATCCGTCACTCGCATGTATGTATGCACGGTCAACGCCTATGCAGAGCTTTTAAGGCAGACGTTGGTTTGCAAGATCCTATATATGAAGTACTTCGTAGTTCGTACCAAGTATAATACTCTCTCTCCTTGTATAAGTGAAGTCTTAGCACCTGTTTACTTGTGACTTAATGAACTTGATGGATATTGTGAATTAATCATTCAACTATATGGTGTTGTTTACTTAGGACTTTTTAAAAATGATTGACTTATTCGCGCAGACCTTTCACGACTTAGCGCAGACCTTTCACGACTTATTCGCTCAGCTCAGTTTTAACACTCGTTCCGATACAGAGGTGTAGGTGTGGGCAGATTATCTTTTTTAACCCTGCTTTCATTCGTTTATTGTATTGCTCCCATCACCATTCTCTCGACAACCCTGCTAAATTCCCTGATCGGAGTGCCCACGAGCCATCACAAAAGCAGCGAAGAGGAATTTCATCCTCTATCTTTTTCATCTTCGTATTCCATCTGAATTTATATCTGTTTTATATTTTTATTTTTATTTTAAATTGTAGTTCTTCTCTTTATTCTTGACCTGATTGTTCTCTTCCTAATAATCTACTTTCAAATTTCTGGTAAAATCGCTATATATACATATACTGTTATCTTACTTTTCAATTGTGAAATTACAATCGTTTTTTAGCTATGCCGTTGAAGACCACGATGCATCAGATGCCCTGTGTTTTGATTTTGAAATTAAAATGAAGTGGTTTAAGATTTCTCAAAGGAAAATTTGACTTGCTTAAGGATTAGATTTAGAAACGGAGAGTACTTACATGTGGAGAGCAACTATGAGTTCTATGAATTACAAACAGAGCTAAAAGATTGTAATTTTTGTCTATGGGAATTACAAACACAGAAATTAAAATTCGTACTTTGTTAAAGTTCACAGGTTCCAGTTGCTTGTATCTTCTATGTTGTTTAGATGGAATGGTGGATACCTATCTTACACGTGCAACACTTGTTACACATAGAGGGTAAATTGGTAATTTGATATAATTCAAACTACACATTCAGCAAACATAGTAAACAAATTGGTATAACAGTGTACTTGAATCCAGACAGACTTTTAATACATAATACAGACATGACTTGATGGAAAAAAAACAAACAGCCCCTTACTTTGAGTGGGCATGATGTTTAAGAAACATCATGAGTATGTTTGATACACAAAAGGCTCTAGCTTCTAGCTTCTCTATTTTTTAAAAAGACCTTAAAAGACTCTAGGTGTATGTTTGATATGACATTTTTTTAGAATTTTTGAAAAATTAAAAGATCTTTTTTGAGATGCTACCAGGTGTAGCATCTGAGAAAAACTCGTGCCTTTTAGTATTAATTAGTCCTAATAGCTTGTATACCAAACCGAACTAAATCAAACAGTCAGTTTTTTTACCAAACAGCTATCACCTTTTCTTTTTAAGATCTTTTCAGTCACTAAAAGTTAACAGTTACTAAAAAGCTCGTAAAAATATCTTTTTAGTTAGTTGTGCCAAACATACCCATAGTTTATTTGTTTGCCCCATGAGGTTGTGAGCTTGGGGGTTTTGGACTTTGGGGTAAAATGGGATTAAACATGAGTATTGAACTCGGGACCTCCCATAAGAGAGAGTAAGTCGACGAGTAGGGGTGGAGCGGGCCTGGGTCGGGCCAGGCTCTGGGCCGGGCTGGAGCGGGCTCCGAGTCAAAATTATTCAAGCTCGGTACTGGCCCGGGTTAGAACCGGAGGTCCGGAACCGGGCTGGGTATGAAATAATTTTTTTTTGTGTCTTTTCAAATTAATTCCAACCCCCCACCTCCAAACCCCCCAAACCGCCCAACCCCCACCCACCTAGCAGACTGTCCAACCCGAAAAAATTTAAAAATTATTCGGGCTCGGGCCGGACCATCACTTAGCAAGCATGTAGCCCGCCACATTAATGCCCCGGTTCGGGCCCCAGTCCCGGTCCCGGTCCTGGTAGGCCGGGTCGGTCCAGCACACTGACGGGCCGGGTCCCGGATCGAGCCAAACTGGTCCAGTCCACCCCTATTGACGATCAGATGAGCTAGACCGCTTCCTCAAATTGCATATTGCTTTATTTAAAAGGAAATGAGGTACTCGGGCGGACAAGAGATGACACTTGAAGTGTGCATTCATGATGTAAAATGATGTAAAATTGCAATTTGGGACACGAGAAACTCTGCAGGTGTACTCACTAGCAGAGTACAAGCTCTTGAGTTACCCCGTTAAGGTGATGAAGATGAAGAACTAAAGGTCATCCCTCAAAAAACTTGGACCGGGCTTGAAAGGGTCAGGTTCTATATACGCCTCCGGGCGATCAAACCCAGCCTCATTCATGCGGTTAGAGATAACATGAAGGATGGCTTTCTTTGAGCCGCCGTACTCATCCCGGTTATTCTCCACATATTCTTTGGCCTCTGCAGCGATCTCATTAACAAAAGCAAACCGGTTTTCCTCGGACAGTAATAGCCGGTCAATGTCCATCGCCAGCAAACCCCCATCTTCTTTTATCTTCCTCATATGCTCTTCCAAGAAAGGTACTTCTTCCAATCTGTATTTCGTCTCGTCATCCTTCTTTGTCTGATTTTGACAACCAACATGGGATTCAGGTATCCAATTATCCAAACATACCCTGGAGCTATTGCATGTTATCATGTTTCTCTTTACTTTGCAAAGGGAAATGCAATGTGATGAAAAGAGAAGCATAATACAATAGCTTTCCTTAACATTTTTTTCATTTCTGTAGAACTTTCAGGGATCCAGACATACCCTTAAGGTATGCTTGGATTGAAAAAGAATAAGGAAACTGAATGAAATGCTAAAGTTAATTTCTTTGCTTTTAACATTGAAACTGCATGAAATGGAATATGATAATTATTGTTTTTTTACATAGATTAGGATTTGATAGTCTTTATATAATGAAATAACCAACATAATAAATTTGTTTTAGATGTTTCTTCAAACTCATTTATTCATTCATTTTTCTAAAAGCTAAATATATGTAAGAAAACATAATTATCTTTGCATTTTTCATTTTTAAAGGTAAAACCTAAATATTCCGTACTAGAAAATAAATTTTGTCAGCATTTGTTACTTCACTGGCATTTCCCAGAGTCCAAACATACCCTTTCTTACAGTTCTTAAATTCTTTCTCTAGTTAAGATATATATGCACAAATTGATCTCAGAAAATGCAAGCACTGATTAACTTCTTATTTCTCAAAACCTGTTTTCTTTCTTCCTAGTTGTGCGACCTTAAAATAATCCAGTACAGTCACTCATTAACCACATAAAAAATCAGCGTTTTCTTACCAATTTTTTTCGTCTCCAGACTCTACGGCCTCGACCTTCACTTTGCGAGTTGGAACCTTTCTGATTGCCAGAAGTGTAAAACAAATTTCTCAATTATAGAAAAGCAAAAACTTCAGAAACGGAAGCAATTCACCTGCGATTGAACCGCAAAATTACTGAGACGAAATCCCGGGGTTTCTATCGTAGCACCGGATTTCTGCATTACAATAATCAGAAACGAACTCAGTCTCCAAATCTCCATGACTAAGAGAGAAGGTATATGAGAGCTCGGAAATGGAGTTACTCTTACGGTGAAGGTGTGTAGAGCTGAGAAACTTCCGATGGACGAGGTCGTTAAGACGGCCATTGCGGCGTTTACCGACGATCCTTTCTTGTCCAAGCTCGCTTTGGTACGCGTAGTTGTGGATCAGGGGTCAAGAGCATGACGGTTGGTTTGGATAATGGTTTGTCATAAAAAATTTTAATTATTAATGTTTTATGGAAAAATTAGTAAAAATGTTTATTATTCTAAAATATGTAGTATGTCTTTCGTGTTTTTATTTCTTAAATAAGAGTAATCAATTCACGATTGAAAAATACTGTCACGTTTAAAGTTTGAAACTGTCAAAATATGACAGTAATTACCACTATGTACTCGTATTATTTAAAAAATAAAAGCATGATACTCCTTTTCGGAAAATAGAAATGTTTTGACCTATTTATAGTATTTAGGGTAATTTTTCATATTTCATCTTTTTAATATGAGCAGAAAACTAATTTAGAATTTAGACTCAAATTGACAAATTGTTGAATTAATTTTCAGTTATTTACCAAATTTTATCTTCCAAACCCTATTTATAATGATATCGTATCCCTTTTATGTTTTCTATAAGAGCCCATTTGTAAACATTGAAAATTGTTGAATTTCTGACTGAAGTGAGTGAATTGATTAATTCATGAAAATATACGAGCATTTTGTAAAAAAATGAAAAATATTTAATGTAATCATCCACAATAATTTCAGCTAATGCAGTCACGAAAATAACTTTACCTTACTTATTTTGATTATTACACAATTCAGCGTGCGAAATAAAAAATTATGTGTTTGGTGAAAACACATGTTTGGTGAAAACATGTCATATACTCTAGGGGTACAATGTTTACCGTAAAGGATGTCCATAATCCACTAAATCCACTTTGACCAAGGTCGAGTTCAAAATCAGTAATAAGAGCATCTCCAATGGTAAAATGTGCACGGTGCACACGTGGCATGAAAAATAGCCACATAAATATTAGTAAATAAATTCTTTCTCTCCTTATTTGAATGATTTTATACAATTTTGGTAAGTTTTTCTCCACACTGTCAAGGAGACCGTCTAGATGTTGACATTGTTGTTGACATTGCAGGGAAAAACTTACCAAAATTGTATAAAATCATTCAAATATGGAGAAAAATAATTTATTTGCTAATATTTATGTGGCTATAACTCATGCCACATGTGCACTGTGGACATTATAGCATTGAAGATGTTTTAAGATAATCGAAATAGGTCCAAAGCTGCGCCGAGGTCGACTCTCGCGGAGATTGGAAGCATGTCCACCACTACTGTCGAGCTTCAAACCAACTATCGCTTTATGATATCAAAGATCAATAAAAGGCATTACTCCACATCATAAGTTGATGTTGTTCACCTCATAGCTAAACACACGGAATTTGAGCTTGATCTCTACAACCGTGCACAGGAACTCGGATAGAGATTGTGAACTAAGAGTTTTCAATACTTGGATTTCACAACGTTGCAAAAAAAACAGATTTCACAAACATTCAGAATTATGTCACTATTAGCTTTCTATACGCGCAATGCACGAAATCTAATGCCTACAATGAAAATTGTAGTCCTCACATCCATTTTATTAGTCCATTAAAATATTAGTCCTCAACCAATGAAGCATATGTTTTGTTTGGGTGTTATTTCTGATTGTGCATTCATTACCTAATTGTCGTGTATATCATACTACTTCCGTCTCAATTTTTTTTGTAAAATCAACATTTTCTTGTCAATCAATGTTAAGTTAAATCTCTTTATAGATAATTAATTTAACTTTAATAATTAAAATTTAAATATCGAGAAACTATATTAAAATCTATGTAAAGTTGCAAAATCCAATTTAAAATTTAATTAAGAATTAATGATATCCTAATAAAGTGAATAAAATGAACCTGTTTGACTAAAAAAAGTCAACTTTGAGATTCAAGTTGGGATGAAGAGACTAACTCATAGGTTAACTATCAATCAACGATCAGAAAGAGTAAAATTGTTGGTATATGAACCGGATGATTGCAAATTATCAAACTAAGGCCTATTTTTTTTAATTATACACTTTTAAAATTATTTAACTTTATTAAACTAAGAAACCTTTGCGAGTAGAATATCACCAAAAGTTAGCAATAAGCTAAATAAAAAGTAAAGAAATTAAAATATTACTCCGTATATTTTAGGCCTTTGCATGGTTGATGTTTTCAATCATTCAAATTTTGTATCAAAAACTTTATCATTGAGATCTTGATTGAGTATTAGCCTATGTTTCAAGTAGTTGAACAATTAATAACAATTATTTATTAAACATTCTACTTTTGATTTTGTGTGTTGAATTGTGTAATAATCAAAATAAGTAAAGGTGAATATACTAATTTGACGTGATAAATTGAATTTAATGAAGTGAATATACTACTTTTTTCATGTCAATTTTTGAAATTATATTTTAAATATATTTTTCACAAAATTTGGTAAAACTCTGCCTTTTCTCCTTGCATCCTTTTTCCACTTCTCAATATGATTTATAGGTGCCACGCTCCATCTTCTATACATTCATTCAGACTACCACAATTGAGTCTTACATCTTATCTTGTATTGGAAAATTGAAGTAGATAAATATATTAAAATTATTTTTATAAAGAGGTAAGGGTCAATTAAGTATATCAACTTGTATGAAGTGGAGTAAAGAGTACATTATATTGCATTTAATCATTTTAAGTACACAAAGTCAGGTTTTTAGTGTTAATTGAGGACAGCATTTTGTTAGCCAACTCAATCGTATTAACATTAAATCTAACAGGTCAACTTCTTGAAGGTCGACGCCAACCCCCAACTACTTAATCGACTTCCCCTTGGTCGACGTTAGTCTCTCGCAGGTCAACTTCTCCTTGATCGATGCACCCCTCCTGGCCGCCGCCGCCTCCAGCAGGTCGACCTCTGAAGGTCAGTTTTCCTTTTTGGACGACTTTCGACGTCATAACCTTGGTCCATTACCCTTTCTTACTCAACATTCCGTTAGCCGACTCAGCTGTATTAACGTGTTAATCTAACAAGTGTACTCAATTAACACTAAAACCTCAAATTTGTGTACTTTAAAAGATCAAATGCAATATAATGTACTCTTTACTCCACCTCATACAAGTTGGTGTACTCAATTGACCATTTCCTCTTTTTATAAAACTTGGAAGGAGTTATAAATCAGTAAAGCTAATTCAAAATTGGCCGTAATGGACCATATGTTACACTCACCATACCTTTGTACACATGGACCAATCAAAATGATGTAGTTGAATGATTTAAATCTAAATTAAAAATGATTTAATGAGTTGGACCAATCATGTGAATGACAGGTACCGTACCTCATTTTTTAAATGGGTACCGAAATTGTCACGAAAATAGTATCAATAACGGAGTATAAAAGCACTATAATCCTAAACAAAAGTACCACATATATGAATATGAATGATGTGCGTGTATATAACTGCAATAGCGGAGTAAGGGAATTTATGTTACCAATAAATGAAGTACAATATTTTATTAAAACTGTACAAGATGTAATGCACATAAAAATGGACACAATATAAGGGTACTAACCCACATTTAATATTTATAGGTTTTTTAGACATGACAAATGTCCTAGGGCTCACGTCACTTAAGCAATTGCAAAGAAAGATTGTAAACTTACACATGTGGCTTATCTACGCAATTCAGTACACAAAGGACAAAAGCCGGTACAACAATATCAATCAGCCTGTTGTATTGGTTATTTAACTAATTTTACTTGTTACTCAATTATTTCTTTTAACATTATAAATATCACTTTCTAACTCGTGGAAAATGATTACATTCTCTATTCTCAAAGCTTATGGTCACGTTGCCAAATTTCTTATTCAATCTCAATTTGCATTTATTCAACTCTCACTCGATTATGTCTACCTTGGCTCGGCAAAACCATCAAAGGTAGGATCAGGGGCGGATCCAGGAATTTTAGATGTCCTGGGCTGAATAGAAATTATACTAGAATTAAATATTAAAGGGGTGGGCTAAATGCGAAAAATGAAAAAATTTACACTAAAAATTTTGAAAAAATTCTAAGTTACCCTGGGCTTCAGCCTACCATAACCTGTACATAGATCTTCCCCTGGGTAGGATTCACTTATATAATGAACGAATAAAAGACATAGCATTAAAGGGGATTAACTTTGATAGGAAAGCTTTTGGTTTTTGAAAGGAAATCGCTTATCGCTAACAATATACCTAACTCCTCACCAACCCCAAACATTATTAAAAGTGATAAACTCAAATAAAACAATTTAATAATTAGAGCTGAAATAAGAAATACTCCGTAAAAAAACACCAAATATCTCCATGGTCTGCTAATATCCATGTCCAACTCTAGCAATCTCCATTTCTTCGCTTCATGAATTTTGGTGAGTCAAGCTGATTCGAGTGGCCTCCTCCCCATCCTTTGGTTTGAGTAGTTCAATTTCTATGCTTACATTTTCTTCTCTTACCTCCTCAACTTCTAGACGTCCACAGCCCAACTATGGGTTGGTTTGCAAACGCTTTTAAAAAAGCACTTCTCAGCTTCTGGTTTAAAAAAGCACTTACTCTATCAAACACTACCACTTTTGTTTTTTTCGACTTTCGTGTCAAAAGTGCTTTTACTTTTTATATTACACAAAAAACACTTATTTTACCAAACACTACCAACTTTTACTTTTCAAAATCACTTTTTTCTCAAACACTATCAACCTTTATTTAATCACTTTTCCCCATTTCATTAAAAAACATTTTTTAAAGCAGAAGCTATTGCAAACAGACCCTATATCCTCCTTCATTCCTTGACTTGGTCCCGTGTGCTTCTACTCCCTATCTTTTCAAAGGTCTTATCTCCAATTTTTTTTTGCTAAAAATAGCATAGAACAAAATTTCTCTGTATGATCAATAATCCTCACAAGAAATAGAAACGGACAATTTGAGTTTGCATTTTATTTTATTATTCATATATGAAAAGACAAACCGCCCCTCCATTAAGGCTTCAACATATTTCTAATTGAAGGGCACTTTTGTCTTTTCATACGGAATTTGGGTGCAAAAACAAATATTTTTAAAAACGTTGTGCAAAATGTTAGGAATTTAACTCAC